TGTCCGCAGGGCTGTCTCTCTCCCATCCCCTCCTCTCCTCCACTCACCTACAAAGAAACACGAACAAAGAACTCGATCAACGGCTTCTTTCACTCTTAAATAGAGTTACTTGCAGAGGCGCCATTAGTCTGGCCTTGGCCAGAGGTGGGTCCAAAATCGGAGCCAGGGGGGCTTCTGGAAGCCTCTTAAAGGAGGCACCTCTGTAGCCCACTCCCCCACTATCAAACCGCTGCCAGACACCAAACCACCACAAGGAAGAAGCTGGTTGATCCTCATTCAGATTTTACCAAATTAGGAACTTTGGAAATACATGTTGGCATCCTGGCAGACATATCTTGCCTTCGGTCTTTATCCTTTCAAGTTGAAAATAGTCAAGCACCAACGATTTGCTCAATGCTAGTCACTTGGGTAAATTCTGATGAACTGAGGTCCTACAAGCTTGCAGACGTCAGAGGGACACTGAGATGCTATGCTTGCTTTCTGCATTTGTCAGCGCTCTTTTATAGCAGCAGTTGCCTTATTTCCTCACTGCTCAGTAGGCTTTCAGATCCTCAAGAAAAGACAGAAGTTGTGAAGGGCAAATGACATGAAAATTATGTTGTTTCTTATGCTTTTCATGAATGTAATACTTAAGCAATATTTTTGTTCCTTTTCAGCTGCATTTACTATGATTGGCACTTCCACGCATTTGTCCGATCAGTGCTCACAGTTTGCTATACCATCCTTCTGCCACTTTGTGTTTCCCCTGTGTGACGAGCGCTCTCGGACCCCTAAGCCACGGGAACTGTGCCGGGATGAATGTGAAGTTCTGGAGAACGATCTCTGTAAGCAGGAGTACAACATCGCTAGGTCAAACCCCCTCATCTTGATGCAGCTACAGTTGCCTAAGTGTGAGGATCTCCCACGACCTGACACCTTGGAAGCTGCCAACTGCATAAGGATTGGGATCCCCGTGGAAAGACTCAGCCAATGTAAGTTCGGGTGCTATATCACTGGGAAAAAGTAGGGCTTGTGGCTTCCTCAGGTTGGGTCTGAGAGACAATATTTTTATCAGCCATTCTTTTTGTAAAGAAAGTACTGCTGTACTGGATGCTGCTACTTTTTATTATAATGTGACTGACCATAATCTTGCACTGTTATAAGATATAGTTAAGATGGTGATGAAGTTTAAAGGATGCTGCTTAGTACTGAAAAGGGTTGTATCAACCACCCTGGACACTAAAATTCTGTGTTCACACAACTGATTTGACTCAGATTTGCAAGGGGAAGCAGTGCGTTGCAGGCTTCCCTTCCCACATGCCAGCCCCCGCCTCTGACTCAGTCTTTGCCTTTCTGGATGAGTCCCCCATACAGCTATTTGTGAGTTCTGTTTACCTATCAGTAAACCTCAGATAGGCTGTGGAAGCTTCACTGGAAAAAACCTGTTGAGAAATTAAGCATTCAATGTTCATTATTTCTGTATGGATATCCACAAGAATATTAGTCCTGTAGATCAGTCATGGAGTGTATTGTCTTTCTTCAGCCACACAGGATGGGTGAAAACATCTATCTCACTTCCATGAGTTTATATTTGCATTCAAGAGTAGAAGGGCTGTTACATTGTCAGTAATTATGTGCTGCCTATTTTTGTGCCTACTCCATTTCCTAGCAATTAATCACCACCTCTACAATGTTCAGTAAGGAAGCTCCAAGAGACTAAAGGTGTTTAGAGTTCACAGTGTGGTAAGATTATTCTGAATATCCACTGTCTGAACCCACAGTCAGAAGCAGGGCTCATGGCATAGCGGTGGGCGTGGAAGACGAGCTGTGTGCTAGTGTGATAGGTAGAGACACGGACAATTTAAAGTGTCAAAATCCAATGCGAATTTTATTATATTAGCAAGCGAACAAGAGCAAAGGCAGCACTGGGCGGCCGGGGAGTCTGCGCTCCGCCAACGGCTCGCAACTCCCCGCCTCGTGTAAGCACATTATATACAGTCTCATTTCCTGCATTCGTGATGTCGCAATCAGGTCGATACTCTGCGCATGTTCCTTCTGTTGCTGGGGGGTCTTTCTCTGCCTCCTGGTGATCGTAAGGATGAAGGCTGAAGGTCTTCTTCGTTGCCCTGTGGGTGGACTTATGCAAGAATGTGACTACTCAACCCCCTCAGCTACGGGTCCTGTTGACTTGTGCAAGAATGTCCTTCGGTTGGGCTATCAAGCCTTGCGGGCACATAAATCTTCCATCCATACCTTCCCATACAGGTTTAATGAACAAAGCACAATATGTTACTTGTTACACTAGGAAGGCAGAAATGTAGTGTAGCTGGGAAGCAGAAATAACTGAAAAAACAATGGCAGAACCAAATCATCCAGGGAAGAGGTATCAAGCAAAAGGGATGAGAATAAAAACAGCAGAAAGTCTGGCAAAAGTATTCCATGATTCTCAGAGCCAGTGGTGCTCGCTCTGTTGGAACAGCTGTGATGTGAGTACCCTGTGGGTTTGGAGGGAAGGACTTTGAGAGAGCTGGATTCCTGAGGGCTGGGGAGGGGGACTCGGAAAACTGAAGAAGGTAGTGTTGCAAATATGCAGAAAAATGCATGATTCAGTTCAGGTGACACATGGGAGACAAGCACTCAAAAAGTATGGAGAGAGGATAGCAGCACAACAGAGAGAGAATAAAGATACGAGTTCAGCAGATACGAAAATGATGTATCTAAAGAGAAGAAAAGCCTGAATTCCATTTTTCTAAAGAAGAAAAGAAGGAAAAATTGGTGAGGTATCAAAAAATGCAGGACTAATTTCTCTAGGAATTGAACGGTGTGAGGAAGACAGGAAGATTACAAGAAATAAAAGCGGCGGGAAGTTTGCACTGTTGGCATCTGAGACTTGTCCTGAAGTGAAACTAATAGCTCTAATTTAGTTTATCTAAATCTGTATCTAAAAGTCCATACATGCCTCTTAGTACCAACTTGCATTCAGGGTTACCAAATACTGGTGTGAATAGCTATAGAGCTGAGACACTCCAGGGCAGAATCCAGAAATAACTGGGTGTAAGAGCACAGATACCCACAGAACTGAATTTTCAAAACCTACAGCTTTCATTTAAATCCTGAAGTACCTAAATTCAAGTACTTTTGCATGCATGGTCAATGCACTTCAACCCTTTCAGTCTTGCTGGCCCTTGATTGTTTTGTTGTTTAACAATGTTTTCTCAAACCCTATGTTGCAGATCATCAGTGCTACAATGGTTCTGGAGCAGACTACAGAGGGACAGTCAGTGTTACCAAGTCTGGACACACTTGCCAGCTCTGGGACTCGCAGACTCCCCACAACCATGATCTCACAAGCATTCAGTTTCCAGAGCTAGGTGGAGGACATGCATATTGCCGAAATCCTGGAGGTCAGATGGATGGGCCCTGGTGTTTTACAAAGAATAAAAACGTACGCATGGAACTGTGTGACATACCTTCTTGTAGTATGTATTCTCTTTCTTTTTTCCCCTACTACTGCCCTGAATCCTTTGTAATTTTGAATGTTCCCTATTTTTAAAAGTATAATTCACTTAAGAGGGTCATGCTTTCGAATGTTTCACTTGCTGTAGTGTGGCACCCTTGTTTTGTGTTGTAGGCATGTAGTATTTTCTGGAGATCAGAGCTTATAACAGATATTGTGACGCTTTTTTATTATATATCGGGTGCTTAAGCTGAGATAATAATTAATGGTACTGCTGTATCTAGTAGTTTGTGGTCTAACGTCAATTGACAAACTTGACATACTTATCACCTGTATGTGTTTCGTTTGCTTGCACTACTCAATGGTACATTGCTTTTGCTCTATATGGCATCTTGCAGGCAGCAAGGATATTCAGATCCTGTAGAGGGAGGTATAGCATCATGCTTGGCTGTAAGGAAACCGTGTGAAGTGCAGAAGCAGAGATGTCACATGTAAAACAGACGATCGTATCAGAAAAGCCCTACACCTACAGTAGCCACTGCTAGTTGCTCTGTACTGCACAACTGGTAGCAAAAATAAAAAGCACAGGTCTCACAGCTTAATTCTGTCTCACTTATTTCCCTGTATTGGAATAGCCTTCAGTCTAAAGCTGATAGAGTGTTAACAGTATTTGGACACGACAAACCAACTTAGTACTGTGCTTCATTAGGAAGAAAAGCATTTTCCCTGCAGCGACAGGTGTATCATGGAAGCCATAAAAGTGGTTTTCTTACAAATTGCCTGGATATTTAAAAGCGCTCAAAATTTATATGAAATGTAACATGATTTGACATTTATAATAAATGTCTGTTGCATGTAACGTAGTGTAAATATAACACTGGGATGTGGTTGTGGTGAAAGCAAAACCATGGATTGCAGAAAACATCCCAGGCAGTTCCAGTGAACTTTTTGAACATCACTGTGCTTTCCTGGAGTCTCTAAGTATCAATAAAAAAGCATTTTAAGAAGGTTCCGGAACAGTCTTACTAAGTGTATTGATGGCTCTTCCATGTCTGTCTCACTGTAACTTAAAAACACTTTAGTTAATTATTAAATATAGAACAAATAAGATGTCTCCCAGTGAGACGTGAGATTTATTTTATTCTGAGATTTATTTTATTTACCAGTGGAGGTAAAAAGTGGGCAAAGTGGTGATGAAATGGCTGAAGCTGTGGGAGAAGACCAGACTGCAATGTTGTGCTGTGGTGTGTCACATTGAGTTCATTGCTTTATACACTGTAATGGAGACTACTGACTTGTTTTTTTATCCCCTGAACATGATAATGTGATGTTTTGCAGTTTCCACAACCAGAAGCCTCAAAAATAAAGCGAAATAAACCACATACTGTTACAGTCAACAGATTAAATGTGGGGCTCCTAGTTTATCTTCATACTGCTAGTTGCTATGTCCATTCAAACTTTGAAATATTTAATGGAAAATTATGGAGAAGCAGGAGGGGGTAATATGACCTCTGTTTTCAAGCTGTGGGAATTTACTTTTTGTTTAAAATGTAGTATTAATAATAATACCATAGTTCTTTTTTTTTCTTTACTATTGAATGCATTAAAAATACTTATTGTAAACAATGAACATTTCTGTGCGTGACAGGTCCACGTGACAACAGTAAAATGGGAATCCTTTACATCCTGGTTCCCAGCATAGCCATCCCTCTGGTTATCGCCTGCCTTTTCTTCCTGGTCTGTATGTGCAGAAACAAACAGAAGGCATCTGCTGCTACACCACAGCGCCGCCAGCTGATGGCATCTCCTAGCCAGGACATGGAAATGCCGCTCATTAATCAACACAAACAGGTATTTTTTCCACAAGTTGCTTAGGCCACGTATTTCCAAAGTGTCACGATTTTCAGTGCCTCAGGTTGTCGGTGTTCAAATTTAGCTGTGCTGTAAGGGATCTATTTTTCCTACTGTGCTAGCCATCTACTTTAGTGAAAACCTGGTCTTGCACCTGCTAGCTGTATCTAGAAATCCTGGCCTCATGCAACAGGTTTCAGGACAAAGTATTTTATGACATTTGTCATTACCCGTCAATACCCATTCTGCTTGTTGTCTTAGTGACCAGAAATGTTTTATTTCTGATCCAGTCTTCAGCCAGCAGCTGTTTTTCTCTCTTGGTGATGACGCGGCCAGTTTGCTTGTCTAAAGCAAGATGCACAGTGGGGTTTCTTGTCTAATCAGTCAGCTCAGTCCCCTGCTATTCTGGATTGCCACCGAGCCAGGGTGCAACATGTTTCTAGGGCTGTATATCACAAAGGACAGTGAAACAAAAATGGCTTTGAACTCCTGTCTACAGATCTCATCTCCTGCATACAGTTTTCTAGCTCAACTAACTGATATCTGCGCTAAAATCTGGTTCAGAGCTGATGTTGAATTTTTAATGACAGCATTTACAAGATGCATTCTCTAAAGAACAATGCTCAATTTGTTACAATTGGCAACATCTGTTCAGGAAACTGTAGAATATTTGCAGGATATTACCAATTGTAACAAATTGCATCGATTTTTTGTGGTAAGGGGGAGGTTTAATGGCTGAGTGTGGGCTGTGCTGGAAACTGTCTGGTCCAGTCCACGGTCTGTTGGCCACTAAAATCAGAGCTTGTTCCCAAATCACCTGTTAAAGCCTCTTTCCAGCCTGCCATGCTCCCTCCTGCTGTGGTGCCCCATCTGTGAAACTGTACCATCCAGTCAGGGACTCCTCAAGCCCGCACCAGTCAGGACCCATTAGATCACTGTCATAAACTCCCTTGCTTTCCCTGCCAGTTGCAACAGGGAGGCTCTGGGAATTTCCGACTCTTGGGTTTGCACCACCTTTCCCTTCGTGTACCAGAGAGAAATTCCTTCTTCTGCTCGTCTTCCACTCCCCTCTTCATCAGAGCTAGTGTGAGGTTTCTCAGCAGGGGTACTGTGTGCTACTACCCACAGGCAGGGGCTATTCCTGTAGTGCAACAGAGGATAAAGGGCATATCTGCTACTGCAGAACTGAAAGAGAGAGATTTTGTTCCTCCTTGCTGGAAGAGATGTTTCAGATTACCACAGGGCTGCCGCCTCCTCAGCCAGTGCCCACAAGTTTTCTGATAGATCTCCAGTGGGCACCTCTAGCCAATCTGTAGGGCAAGTGCAGCTGCAGTTAATAGATGTCATCATTATTGATGCCAGATTTACTCTGAACCAATTACTCGTTTAGCTTGCAGGAAATATGGGTGCTCTTTTGTAAAAATAATTATGCTCATCATCTTGCAGCATAATTCAATTTACACTTCTGATAATAGTATAACTCATTTCAAGGTTAACGGTAAAATCAATACACTGATGTGAATATACAAAAAGCTGAAAAGTCGTTTTGGCCCAATTTGTCTTCCATTTGAAGCATCTAACCACTGGGAGCTTTTCGTTGATAAGAGAGTCTGTTGTTTAGAAAACATTGTGATTTTTTACTGACTTACTTTCTTTACTTCATTTCAGGCCAAGCTTAAAGAAATCAATCTATCCACTGTGCGGTTTATGGAGGAACTAGGAGAGGAGAGATTTGGCAAAGTCTACAAGGGGCATCTTTTTGGTACAGCACCAGGTGAACAAACACAAGCTGTTGCTATCAAGACACTTAAAGACAAAGCAGAACTGGCTCTTCGGGAAGAATTCAAACATGAGGCAATGATGAGATCACGATTACAGCACCCAAACATTGTTTGTTTGCTGGGAATAGTGACAAAGGAACAACCCATAAGCATGATATTTAGTTATTGTTCCCACAGTGACCTCCATGAGTTCTTGGTGATGAGATCTCCACATTCAGATGTTGGCAGCACTGATGATGACAAGACAGTAAAATCCACTCTGGAACCAGCAGACTTTTTCCATATTGTCACTCAGATAGCTGCAGGAATGGAATATCTTTCAAGCCACCATGTTGTCCACAAGGACTTGGCCACTAGAAATATACTGGTGTTTGATAAACTGAATGTGAAAATATCTGATTTAGGCCTTTTCAGGGAAGTATATGCTGCTGATTACTACAAACTGATGGGAAATTCCCTTCTTCCTATCCGGTGGATGTCCCCTGAGGCTATTATGTATGGCAAGTTTTCTATTGATTCGGATATATGGTCATATGGAGTTGTGTTGTGGGAAGTTTTCAGCTATGGCCTGCAGCCTTACTGTGGTTATTCTAACCAGGATGTCATTGAGATGATCAGGAACCGACAGGTTTTGCCATGTCCTGATGACTGCCCCACATGGATATACACTTTGATGTTGGAGTGTTGGAATGAATTTCCCAACAGACGACCAAGATTTAAAGATATACACAACAGACTAAGAACATGGGGAAACCTTTCTAATTACAACAGCTCAGCGCAAACCTCTGGGGCAAGCAACACCACGCAAACAAGTTCTCTCAGCACAAGCCCTGTTAGCAACATCAGCAATGCTAGGTACATTGGACCAAAGCAGAAAACTCCAGCTTTCCCTCAACCACAGTTCATACAAATGAAAGGGCAGATTACACCGATGGTCCCTCCTCCTCAGCTCTACATTCCAGTCAATGGTTACCAGCCAATGCCTGCCTATGGCGCTTACTTGCCAAATTTTTATCCTGTCCAAATTCCGATGCAAATGGCTCCTCAGCAAATGCCTCCCCAGATCATTCCCAAACCAGGCTCCCATCATAGTGGGAGTGGATCCACCAGCACTGGCTATGTAACAACGGCGCCTTCCAACACGTCGGTGGCCGACAGGGCTGCTCTGCTCTCAGAGGGCACAGATGACACACACAATATAGCAGAAGACGTCGCCCAGAATCCTGTCCAGGAGGAGGAGGAAGAGGAGGGGTCTGTGCCTGAAACAGAATTGCTGGGCGATAATGATACACTTCAGATGGACGAAGCAGAAATTCAATTGGAAGCCTAAGTAATTTGGCCTCATTACTAAGAATTTCACATCACTTCCATGCATGGAGACTGTAGATCCTTAAGCTTAATAGAGTGATTTTGATTTGACTAAAAGAAAGAAAACTAAAAAACCTACACCCATGTAAAGTGCAGCAGTAATGATATACGGGGTTTATTGACCATTGCCACCATCAGATTTTGCAAATATGGTGGTATAGAATTTCTGGGTTTAATCTTTTTTATTGTCCTACAGTTCTTGAGGGAAGCTGCTTTTCCGTTACGTACTGTTGCTGTGCAACATATTGCAGAGTAGCATTGCACATCATGTATATCATGATATGTGAGTGTAATGTTAGTGAATTATGCTTAAACCGGTAACACAAAAAGGAATCCAACTATGGTTTCAGAATTGCTCTGAGCATAAGGAAGTGCCCTGGATGTGATGGACAGCTTAGTTTATAGTATTTATCTCTTTGATATAATGGACACGAGATTGTTGTTTGCTTTTTGAGTCTGAAAAAATAACAAGTTGAGAATACTGATCCGTGTTTGTACTATCATAGCCGGAAAAGTAGGGAAACTGAACATTAAATTGACGGTGCTGAGTCAGACCATGGAGTCTGTCCAGCCCAGTAGCCTGTCTCAAAAGGCCATCGATAATGTCTGCCCAGGGAAGACTGCAAGGACAATTTCCCTTGTAGAATTTCCCCAGGCTATTTCCCCAGCCTCCAGCAATTTGTGGCTTAGGGACTTCCCAAGCCAGAAGTGGAATTTTTTTCTGTTTAATAGCCCTCAATGGAATTTTCTACCATGAATTTATCCAAATGATTTTGAACCCACACAAACAGAGCATCCACAACATCCTGTGGAATAACATGAGAGGAAAAAGGATGGCTTGCTTTCATCATTCCCAATGAATGACTGTGACAGAAGCTTCCAAATGAGATCATCTGACTGCATTTGTGGATGAAAGTATTCCTTCTCTGCTGTGTATTTTCAGCAGCAAGCAGCCTTAATACACTGTTAACCAAAAATGGGGATATTGTAGGGGATATTGTAGGTGTGCACTAACTTAACAATCCAACTTTAATTGCGTATTGGTTATCAAGTATAGAAGAGGGCTCCACATCTTTATTCCTACATTGTAGAAGTGTTGGGGTTTGTGTGGGGTTGTAGACTTACTTGATTTGCCACAATTACTGCTGGATTGCATGTGAAACCATGTTTTTTCCTGCATCTTTAGTGAAAACGAATCTTTGAACTTTAGAAGACCGAAATAAGCAATAATGTACGAAGTGCTGGTTTTGTGCTTCTATTTGCAGGATGAATCATGTACAGACCTTTAAATGTAATTTATGTTTTATTACATTTTATATACCTTTTTTCATTGAAATAGTTGGATTTTTGAATTAATGACTTCATAACTTAACCATTTACAATATTCACATGTGGTGCGGTTTTATTGTATTGCTGTTTCATTTCGTTAAACATGCGGACAGGTCCATACATTTCATGACCCTTTCTGTTATACAAGCAATATACATTCTCATTGTAGCATTGTAGCCAACACACACTATAGCTATAAGTTGTACATCCAACGTGGGAGTATTCAATAAAGTGATGCAAAAAGTATGAGTAAGTATGTTATCTTAATAGTTTCTACAGCCATTGTTTTGTTATGGTACTCTGTGGAAATAGAAATGGCCACAGTTCCTTAGGTCACAGGTTTCATACCTAAACTACAGCATTTTATTTTATTACATTTGGATTCACTTGTAAGTTGTGCATCATGTGATCTACACCCTGTGTTCATGGTATGGCAGCATTACTTATTTTCAGCATTTCACCTGGATTTGGAAATGCACTGATAGGAATAAAATATGAAAGCTTTATAACTTGTGTTAATATAATGCAGCTTTGGGTGCTATTACTAAATAAAGGATAAAAAAGTAAATAAATGTGAAGTTTATTTACATTAAGTTCTTTGTTTCCTAGGTTTCATGTTCTCAGAGTAGTAAATTTCATTAATCAACTACATTGGCTTCCTTTGCTAACTCACTGCCTGAAAAAATGGAAAGTAAGTGGTCCATTTATACCACAGATGTGTCAGTGAGAGAAGAGATATGATAAATGAATGAGTGGCAGTCAATAGAAGCTTCTGTACAGCACTATCTGAAGTTCAGGCCATTTCTGACAGTCAAAGAGCATTACAACTTTGGGTGCTTTGGACGCAGTTTGGGAAACTCCTAATTCCTTTCTTCAAGCCTCATAAATTCAATCCTATAAATCACTATCATCAGAAAAAATAAGACAGACTCCTGTGCTAACTCACCACTAACATGTGGATGCAGTCTCAAAGTGACAGTAGAGGAGTGGTATACAATTCTCTAGGCCAGCCTTGGTGATGCACACAGTACCACAGAGGGGCTTTCTCCCCTCTTTTGATGTAATGTACTTTCCTGAGCTGCCATGATTGGAGCCATGACAGCATGCAAACACTTCATCTACAGCTCAGGTGAGCACCTCTACACAAGTAGTTACCACTACTAACACATTAGTGGCTACTGTAAGTCGTATGGGTTGGCAGTAACTTCTTGCTCTGTAACTCCCCAGGCTACTCCTGCTGTGATGTCTGCTGCAAAGATCCAGCCAGAATCAGGATCTGCCTTTGCTCCTCAATTTTTGGAAGCAAGGCCAAGGAAGAGCAGGGAAGGGATGTGGCAGTAAACGGATTGGACAACATGGTAAGGTGGGAATAGGGGAGGGAAGGGTTGGGGCTGGGGCCCAGCAGAGCTAGCACAATGCTGCTCACTAGGGCATGCAAAGTTAACTTCTTCCTGCCAGGGCTAGCAAAGCTGGGGTTTGTCCTGGTGGCAGAACAACTTTTCTGGGTAACAGATATATGTCTGGATGGCCAGGAGAGGGCAAGGTGTTTTTAAGAAGACTGTGGGATGTTTCAAAAGTTTTCTGTTGCCTCTTGCTACTCCCCCACTCTGATTCGGTCAATGTGATCATTCCTAAGAAGACAGGGACTAACCTTGGGAAAACTGGATAGAACATTGGTAGTGTCCACAGCAGCCCACTGACAAGGCAGGAGGCTATGGCTGACAGAGACTGCCTCTTCCCCATCTCCAGTGGTATATGACACTGGACCTGGTGCATGCCCTCCCCGTGGCCCATACCAACTGGTTTAGCTGTTCTCACTCAAGCCAAGTTCTCCGATACAGTGCAGGTGTGTTATGTTGGCTCAGACTGTTGTGATAAAAGAGCTGTTGGAGAAAGAGGTGGAAGGAGCCCTGGTATCATCAGCCCCTTCTCTTATGTGCAGCTTATGCCTGCAAAGCATGAAAATGCTCTTGGGATTCACCTCAGGGTAGGGCAAAGCACCCCTGTGCTGAACAGGTCCCTGGCAGGGCTGGAGATCAACCTAGCATCAGCCAGCCTGAAGCTCTGCACTGCTGATATTCATGAGTCCTGATGAGGAAGAGATGAGAAGGGACAAGCTGAAACTTGAAGCAGGAGTGCTTTGGGTATAGCACAGTCACAAGTGCCTAGGCGAAGCCTTGACCCATGACAGGACTGTCTTAGGGTTTGTGTGCCCCAGAGCATAAAAGAACCAGGGGCCTATAGGATCCAATAATGCCTTGGTCAACCGGGCATCTGCCTGTGCCTGAAAACAAGTTTGTGTCCCTGTTTGTAAAAGCATCTGGGGTAGATGGGGAATGAATATGCATTCTGAGGGCAGGGAAGATGGGGGAAGTCTGAGCAGGGAAACTTAAGTGACTGTAGATGTGTGCACCTCCTCCACCATGCTAGTGCAGCCTGGCAAGAGCACCAATCTGAATCTCGTTCTGATGCGGTCTGAGATGTGGGTTATGGCAGGATGTTTTCTTCTGTTTCGTCTATTGGGACCACAGAGAAGACAAAACTATAAACAGTGTGGTATAAACAGCTGTGTAAGAACTGTGAATTCACCCACAGTGCGAATTGATAAGTACAAATAGGCCTTACTACACAAGTTGTGATGGGCAGCTTTGTTCCTTCACCTCCATCTGAATGTCACTACTCTGTTTCATTGAATGATTTCTCTAAAGACATCCCGAAATAAGAGGTCCCTGTGAAGATGTGAATCCTTTGCTTCCTGTATCTGCCATGACTATGAACATCATAGTAAGTCAAAGGGAAATTACATCACGGTAACAGTATCTCAAAATTTTATTATAGATATGAATTTGAATTTATTTCTCACTTATTATCTAAGCAGTTCATTAAATGTCATTTGCTTCTGTGTTCAGAGAAATCATCTCAGTTTGACCATGTGGGAATGAAGGGAAGAGCTCAGGGACATTTGCTGAGTTGGAGCACTCTCAAAAGACATCAGACCTCCTTGAGGTGTTTGCCAAAACAAATGTGAAGATGAAACACCCAGCTAAAAGCATGGTTACATCTTCAAGTTAAGCCATGCTTTAATGGTTTTAAGCCATAGTTTGACCCTGTGATATGGTGCAGGTGTCTCGTCTTGACTCAGACTCTGTTTCTAGACCAGCAAACTCTAACACAAACTGTTCTCAAAAACAGCATTTCAGTTACCCAAAATCTGAAGGAAAGATCCACCAGCAAAGCCATCCTCTATTTGAGGAAAGGGGCTAAATTAAATATTGTACGGAACGATGTGTGTTCCTGTTCTACAAATAAATCTATGAAATGTTAGTGGAATGGCAGGAATCAAGTTTTGGGATTTTCTCAGACACTGGGAAAGGGGTGTTAGAAGATTAGAAGAGTAGTAGCACACAGCATGAACAATGACATGGCTCAGTGAACAAGGCTTAGTTACGTCTTATTAGAAAACTGAATTTTGTTTTAATTTTTTTCAAACGTGTCCTTGTGTAATCTTTCAGTTTTGCCCAGCTTGCATATATGAGAGGTTGTTGGCTCCTTCAATCAACAATATGAGAATGAGCAATCTAGGGACTGTCAAGCAATACTAAATGTGGTCTGTTGGCAAGATAAACCAAGTCCATCATATCCCGGTCAGGCAGAACTTTGTCTAGACCAAAATGTACTGTATCTACTGTGATAAAATGTACATGTTGTCACTGTCAGAGTTAATGCTCATGCTCCTCCTCCAGTGCTCACACTGAGGGCCTCGGAGTTGTCCCCAACCCAAGCCCTGTCCGGTTGCTCTAAATGAAGAAATGGCTTCTAAATCTTAGCTGAATACTGGAAGATTGCACAAGCAGGGGGAAGTAATGTAACTGAGGTTATGGCAGGAGCTGGAAATAGTATGGGTTCATAGGGCTGTAAATCTCCAGGAGACTCGGAATTTAAAATAATACAATACCGAGTGAACACAGAATCCGATGTAGCTACTTCTCATTTCTATTTATCTGAAAGAGGAACTTTACTTTATCTCAATTGCAGTGTACCTGATGGTTTAACTGTCCTTTTTAAGACCTGTATCTAAAACTGAAAATAACTCATCTGTTCAGTCGGTTCTTTTTTTAACTCTA